CTCTCTCTCTCTCTCTCTCTCTCTATCTCTCTCTGTCTCTCACTCTCTGTCTCTCACTCTCTGTCTCTCACTCTCTGTCTCTCACTCTCTCACTCTATAATCTCTCTCTCTCTCTCTTTCTGTTTTTCTCTCCCCCACCCCTCTAGAATTACAAAGTTCTTTCTGCTTAGTACAGTCCGTGCCGGCTATAAGCACGCCGGCCTTAAGCACGTTTCGGACTCAAGCACGCTAAACGGCTCTTACCAAATTTTTGCTATATAAATTACACGCCTATAAGCATGGTAACTTCGGCTTCAAGCACGCTTCATTTACAAGGCAGTCAATATTTTCATGATGACCCATCGAAGTTTGAACTCAGTTTACACCGCAGCAGTGGAGTGTGTCAAGAGAAACACAAAGAACACAAGTGATGGGGACACACACTCGCACGGGTGGAGAGGAAGGCAGAGAGATGCACACAGCCATTCGCGCGGACATAGGATCTAGCCTAGGCCTAGGGCAAAGCTACACACGATCAAAAAAAAAAAAGAGAGTCGGGGAGATGAGAAAGGGAGGCTGGCTGCGATTTCACCTTTGACCCTCGCTACCCATTAATCCTGATTGTGTATCACACGCGAGGTGGGATGAAGGCGGTGGTATGAGTGGCACAGCGGGCAGTGGTACGCACAGGCATGGTGTTACAGTAGGCCTAGTGTGCTGTATCGTGACTGGCCGTCTAAATTAAGTTTTCATTTCCTATTCGACCATAAAACAAAAACAAACAAGCGAACAAAAACTACCATGTCGGGTGTCTAAATAACAGTGCACACTTTTGTGGGACTGCTATAGGCCTACTTACAAACTAATGGAAATAGCACGAGGAATTTTCTACATGAAAAACTCTGGATTATGTCTACTTCGCACTTAAGCATGCTTCGGCTTTAAGCACGCTTAAGCTTTCTCCCGTTGACCGTGCTTAAAGCCGGCATGGACTTTACCTAGTTTTGAGAAATTTGATGTTCTAAGTTTTGAGTTTCACAACTTCAATCTCTTTTTTACTGCAATTCTTTTGAATATCTGGATGACCCCTCCGAATAACCTCATGGTTTCGATAGAGCTGGTACAACATTTGGTTTCTGACTTCATGATCTTAGTTACTCAAAACAGCCGAAAATGTCAGATAGAACTTTTTAATTCTAAGGTAGAAAGTTTCCTTCATTTACAGATAGTTGGAAACATTTACAGTGATTAACTATCTTTCACAATGGTTTGCAACCTTTGTTGTATCGGATGTGTCCGCTTGCCCAGTTGTCGACCTCTGTTTTTGTCTGTCCAAATAGGGCTGAAACAGTGCGTAGGCTTACACTCGTTTACCATTGTTTACCTACTTTTTCAATCGTTTATAACCTTTTGCTATTATTTACAATCTTTTACGATCAATTCCAGTCTTTATAATCATTTGCAATTGTTAACAGTTTACAGTATTTGCTATCATTTACAATTGTTAACAATCTATGATCAGTCACAATAAATCAATCACAAATATCAACAATATTTTACAAACATTTACAATCATTTGAAATTATTTATGAACATTGATAATCGTGTACCATCTTTCACAAACAATTACAATTTTTTAAAATCATTAACAATTGTGCTCCATTATTTTTCCATCTGTCCAGGCATTGACCTTCGCTCTGTGCGTCCACCTGAAGGTCAGCAAGACACCCGGTTTGACCTCTCCCTGCCGCGACCCGACCGACCTCCCGGCATCCCTGCCTACAGCCCCTGGGGACTTCCTCCCATCCCCCCCAGCTTCCACACCACTGCCCCCTCCGGCTACCCCACCTCCCACATGTATCCTCCTCCTCCTCATCCCCATCACTCTCTCCCTCATCCTCATCCTCATCCTCATCCTCCTCCTCATGTTGAGCAGCGGAAGGATCCACCCGACGTCCCTGTACCGATGAGTCATTACCGGCCGATGAACCAAGAGCAGCCTGCTACTGCCTCGCCTCCCAGCCCCGAGGATATCGTCGAGGATATTCGGGAAGAAGAACCACTTGCGCAGCTGCCGCCACAACCACAACCACCGCCGCCACCCACTTTTGAGAGGTTGTCGAACCCACTTCTTTACCTCCGTGCCCCCTCCTCCTCCATCTCGACACAGGAACAGACGTCAGGTGGGCCCTCCGGGCCATCCCACCCTGGTCCCCACCTCAGTTTGTCAAATGAACCATCGCAACCACAACCGCAGTCAGAACCACCATTAACAAATTTTCCTACCTCGAACTCCTCCTCTTCCGAACCGATGGTTGCTACTATGAATTTTTCAGACGAACTGCCTCCTCCCCCTCCTCACGTCGAGACGGCCTCAGGTGTACAGAGAAGCCTATTCTGGGAGCCGCTGAAAGTTGAGGAACCAGAAAACCGCAGCGAAGCCGTTCCTGGCGCAGGTGATGAAGATGATGGTGGTAGAAGTAGTCTTTCCGGCAATGAGAGTGTCGGTGCTGCAGATGATGATGATGATGATGATGATGATGACTACATCGCCGAACCTGAGGAAGAGGAAATAGTTCCCGAAAGAGAAATGGTCGCTGTTGCTCCTCCCATGACGAGAAGCAGCCAAAAATTAGTGATTAAGGTCCCGGAAAAGAAAAAAGTGGGGCGCAAACGGAAAAGGAGACTGGCAGAAGAAGAGAAATATTCTTGTTACGTGTGTGAGTTAAAGTTTCAGAACTCCAACAAGTATCTGAGGCACGTGAAAAAACACACCAGCGAGTGGCCGTTCAAGTGTACGATGTGTAACCGTGGGTTTGTCACCGAGGATGCTCTCAACAAGCACGCTGGCACACACTTGGATCAGGCCCCCCATCAATGTGTGACATGTGGTGCTGGTTTTTCAGAACTTATCCAACTCACGCTACATGGTTGGATTCACAAAATGGCGGGATCTGTACAAAAGAAAGGTGGGCCTAAGGAGGAGAAACGAAGGAGGGTGGTAGTGAAGGAGGAACGAAAAGCTGTGGCGGATAGACGGAAGACTAAGGTGAAGAAGCAAAGAACAGTGGTGGAAAAAAGACGGGCAGTGGTGGACAGACGGAAGATGAAGGTCGCTGACAAACGGAAGACGTTGGAGAAACGGAGGACTGCGGTTTTGGACAAGCGAAAAACGGTTTCAGAGAGGCAGAGGAAAAGAAAAGCTACCACTCCGAGGAAAATTGTTGTAGAGGTAAAGAAAGAGAAGAGGGTGAAGGCCAAACCGGAGTCGTGTCCAGTGTGTGGGGAGACCTTTATCAAGGAGGCGGCCTTGAGAGGTCATCTGTCTGAACATGTGTTTTACGATATTCAGAAGGAGGAGATTTTGATCCGACGAAATCACGGGGCGGAACAGGAGAGAGATATCTCGGATGGGGCTCTGCCCTTTACCAGCAGTAGTATCATTAACTCTTACGACTTCACCTTCACCTGCAGTCTCTGCAACATCAAGTTCACGCACAAGAAGGAGCTGTTCGCTCACCGGCACGCTGTACACGAAAGGGTTAAGTGTGAGTACGACAGCAAAGCTCTGGTGCTCAAGCCCAGACCAGCTGTTCGCACGCCTCGAAGGTACAAGCCGGCCGTGTGTGAGATCTGTGGAGCAGTGTTTAAGCGAGGTGACCGCATGAAACATCACCTCATACTACACACCAACAAGGATATGTACCAATGCGACATCTGCCACCTAAATCTGGCCAACCCTTTCGCGCTGAAGAAACATAAACTTCTCCACGTGAAGAGTGAGTTCGGCACGGCTCCTAGCCAGGACAAGAATTTTGTCTGCGAGGTTTGTGGGAAACTGATGAAGTCGAAGCGGCGACTCAAGCTCCACATGACGGTACACACGGGGGAAAAAATCTTCAACTGCAACGTGTGCCAGATGGAGTTCTCCAGCCTGGCGCGTCTGACCAATCACAAGAAGGAGCATCAGTCGAACAAACAGTTCATCTGCGATGTGTGTGGATCAGCGTACGGCCGCTCGCAGGATCTCAAGACTCACTACTACAGGGTGCATGTGAAAAAGAAGGCGGAGGAAGCCGAAGCGCTGTTGCTGGGCGCGCAAGGGTTGGCGCCCCCCAAGCGCAAGAAAGAGGCCAAAACTTTTCCCTGCGAGACGTGCAGCAAGATCTTCCGCACCAAAGAGCTTCTCAACTACCACGCCAGTGTCCACACGGGCGAAAAACCCTATTCGTGTAAGATCTGCAATAAGAGTTTTCGCTACCCAACTTCGCTCGCCTCACACAAGAAGATTCACACGGGGGAAAAGCCGTTTGAGTGTGATGTGTGTCATCAGAGATTCTTACGAAAGGACTATCTTCAGGGTCACTACCGTATACACACGGGAGAAAAACCGTACGCATGTAAAGTTTGCGGTCAGAGGTTCCGGCAGCAGGGAGACATGCAGGCGCATCAGAAGAGACACGCCAGGCAGGGGAATTTCATTCAGTTGTGAGGGGTCCAGATAGCCAATGAGGCAACACAGTCAATTTTTTCTTCTTCTTCTTCTTCTTCTTCTTCTTCTTCTTCTTCTTCTTCTTCTTCTTCTTCTTCTTCTTCTTCTTCCTCTTCTTCTTCTTCTTCTTCTTCTTCTTCTTCTTCTTCTTCTTCTTCTTCTTCTTCTTCTTCTTCTTCTTCTTCTTCTTCTTCTTCTTCCTCTTCCTCTTCCTCTTCCTCTTCCTCTTTCTCTTCCTCATCTTTTTCTTCTTCTTCTGCTTCTTCTTTTTCTTCTTCTTCTCCTCCTCCTCCTCCTCTTCCTCCTCCTCTTCCTCCTCCTCCTCCTCCTCCTCCTCCTCCTCCTTGTACCAGATCTGAAACGGACATCAACATGACAATCATGATTTTGCCTCTTATTTCTCTGCTGGATACTCTTTTTTTAGAAACTGATACCATCCTGATGTTTTCCCCCTCACTTATCTACATGAGTCCAGTTCATGTTCGTTCTGTAGAACTAGTTTTACCTTCCTGCCTCATCCTCAGACAGTCTTCACTCAATTTTCCAAGTCATTTTTTTTTTTTCAGATTTCTAGTTAACGGTGAGGAAAAAATACCTATGCCTTGTTTTTGCATCCTCAAAACAGATGGGATTTTTGTCTTGTGTTTACAAAATCCAATTACTGAGACCTCTTTGCTTTTCCTTGAATCCTAAAGTTGATTAAGTTAGCACTGTTTTTATAATTTTCTTTAAAAAGTCAAAAAATGACTTGGGCAATGCGGCTGGTTGGCAGGTGCTCTGGTGTGGTTTGCTCCTTCTTTCCTATCCCAAACATATGTTGTCCTTATCGCTCCTTCTTCTTTGGTGTAATGTTAGTTACTCCCTTGTAAAAAAATCAAATCTTCGGCACACACTTATAGTCCTGTAAAATGCTTACTTAAAATAGAAAGACTTGAGAAATTGTCATATACCGTGACCTCAAGTTTGTTGAAGGGGCGTCTGGCACTGTACAAAGTTCTATCTGCTCAACACCTAGTTTTGAGAAATTTGACATGAAAATTTTCGAGTTTCACATGTCAAACTTTTTCGAATGCAATTCTTGAAGTATTTTGATTACGACTCCGAATAATCTTATGATTTTGATAGAGCCGATAGAACATTTAGGTTTTGATCTCTTGGTCTCAGTAACTCAAAACGGCCAAAATGTCAGATCAGGTAGAACTTTGTAGGCTAATTCTGATGTAGTGAGATATACAAACTTTTCTGTCTTTTTACGAACAGTGTTACTGTAAAGACTGGTATTTAATTACTGTATGACTGGCTGTACGTTGTTATACCCGATGTCTACGTATTTTTTGTGCTACCTCAGACAGTTTGAAATTGGGGGAAGGAGAGGGAGGGGGGGGGGGACTCTTAAATCTACTGAACGTTACATTTACCAAAGCATGAGTTGGGAGTGGGTGGTTGGCAGGTGCTCTAGTTTGATTTGCTCCTTCTTTCCTATCGTACTTATATCTCTCCCCCTTCTTTTTTATGTTTGTTGAGCTGTCTTGTAACACCTCCAATCTTAGGCACTTTAAATAAGACCTAATTGTGTTGCAAGTGCCGTAAAACTCCAACGGAAACACAATAGATGGGACAAGTGTGAAGAGTGTACAGTGAACTCGGCCGAGGGGCTTAAACTTAAACCTATCGCCACACTTTAGTATATTTTGCCTAAAAGTGAGCTATGAACTGTGAACTTGGTCATGTAGGTGTCCCACTTGTTAGTCTTCTATTGTAAATCTGGTCATTATGTGTCACATAGATGAGTTATGTGTCACATAGATGAGTTATGTACTGTAAAGCTGGTCATTATGTGTCACATAGATGAGTTATGTACTGTAAAACTGGTCATTATGTGTCACATAGATGAGTAATGTACTGTAAAACTGGTCATTATGTGTCACATAGATGAGTTATGTACTGTAAAACTGGTCATTATGTGTCACATGGATGAGTTATGTACTGTAAAACTGGTCAATATTATGTGTCACATAGATGAGTTATGTACTGTAAAACTGGTCATTATGTGTCACATAGATGAGTTATGTACTGTAAAACTGGTCATTATGTGTCACATAGATGAGTTATGTACTGTAAAACTGGTCATTATGTGTCACATATATGAGTTATGTACTGTAAAACTGGTCATTATGTGTCACATAGATGAGTTATGTACTGTAAATCTGGTCATTATGTGTCACATAGATGAGTTATGTACTGTAAAACTGGTCAATGTTATGTGTCACATAGATGAGTTATGTACTGTAAAACTGGTCAATATTATGTGTCACATGGATGAGTTATGTACTGTAAAGCTGGTCAAATTATGTGTCACATAGGTGAGTTATGTACTGTAAAACTGGTCAATATTATGTGTCACATAGATGAGTTATGTACTGTAAAACTGGTCAATATTATGTGTCACATGGATGAATTATGTACTGTAAAGCTGGTCAAATTATGTGTCACATAGGTGAGTTATGTACTGTAGAACTGGTCATGTATTGTTGCCGTCATTCAACATTGTATATTGTGTGAGGGAGGGTGGTGAAATCAACCCCCGGGGCGGTGCCACTGACTGAAGTGTCTTTAGGCTTTTCCCAAAGGGGGGACATTTCTCGTCCTAATGTACAGTAGAATTGTAAATGGGCTGATCCAACAATGTCATGCTCATAACTGTGCCTGAACTAATGCAGGGAACTGCTGCTTTTTCTTTCCTAATCCTTACTATCGTCATTTTCCTCTACTTCTTTTGTATGTTTGTCAGACTCCTGTGACCCACTATTTCCGGGGTGCCTTGATAGTCATGCAGACTTTGTGCTATTGAAGTTAGAGAGGTGAGCAGAGTAAGTCTGATTCCCTGTAAGGACTTCTCTGTTGACATCCACCCCTTGGCGCTTGTATGACCTTATACAGTTGCAAGCGCCGTAAAGCCTCTACTAAAACAAAAAGGTGAAATAAGGCGCAGCACTTGTCAAAATGATGAAATCGGAGAAACATGTATTTTTCTGCCAGCTTGGAAATTTTTACTGAATTTTTATTTTATGGCTCTTTTGTGTCCATATAAAAACACATTTCCATGTGAAATTTACTTAAAAACGTTGATCATGAAAGGCCCAAAATATGCCATTTTTGAGTTTTCAAAGACTCTTTAGCTATTGGAGTTACCAAACTTTGACGGCCATTTTCTCGCTAATTTCACCACTGAAACCAGGCGACCTCACTTCCTTTAATCGCAAATATCTTGAGTTCTATTCAAGATAAATGGATATTTATTTCATGAGAAGCAAGGCAAATGAATCAGCTTTCAGGTGATAGGCCTACCTATAAGTCCACATGCCTAAATTTCACGAGCACCTGATTCCACCGTGTTGTGACACACATATATATATATGCAGTTTGTCAAATTTTCTAAGAAATGAAAATTGGCATGCGACAATAATGGCGGCGAAGATACTAGTACGTCTCTGTAGTATGTAATTTACATGTGAGTTGTGTATTGTTAAACAGGTCATATATGCCACTCATCTGAGTTTTATACAACAAAACTTTTTTTTTCATGTATATATATATATATAAAAATAAACATATATACGTGTATAATCATAATGTCTCACAGTTACGTGGTTTACAATAATGCTGGAACATGAAATGTATCATATCAAATTGTTGTTTTTTTTAAACTTCTCATCTGCCACAGAGTGAAAAAATGTACCTACAGTAAAATTGGTCATCTTTCATGCAGTGGAGAGAGAAGTGTTCTGTAAAACGGGTAATGTTTCGCGCACTTGATTCGGAGTGTGCTGTAAAAGTGGTCATTTGCACCCCTGTGACAAAATGTGCAGAACAACTGATCATATGATGCAGACTTCCCAAACACTGATAAAAGTGAAGCGCTCGATATTTTTTCTCTCCTGTAGAGGACCTTGCTCGGATAAAGTTTGCATAAAATCCTTTTTTTTCTTCTTAATTTTCTTGGAATTCTGTTTGCATTGGTCGTTGGTAACAAACGTGAAAACACTCGTTTTTCATTGCATTCGTTTGCAAAAATTGCACAGCGTATCATAAATGAGATGAAAATACAGTTTCGTTTGCGTGTATTTGCTATACATGTTTACTTTCCACTCCTGGCTTTGTCTGTCTCGTAGTTTTAATCTACTGGGGTTTTAGAAACTCCCTTTTTTTTCCCTCCAGTCTCTTATTTTTGGAAGGATTTTGAGGAAAATTCCTATTTTTGTTAATGGAATGGTTGGTGGTAGGTCTGATTGTCGCCTCAGAACTAGTTTGTCCAAAGTGTACTTAAATAAAGAAGCACTTTAGACAAAGTAGTTGTGAGGTGACGATATGTCACAGAGGGGCAAAATGTACTCTAATTTCTAAATATGATCATTTGTCATGGGTTTTTGTATAGGAGGCTTAAAAACACTTTTCATCAGCGCTGTAAGAGGCGGGACCTTGGCATTTAACGTTCATCTCTGATAGAGCTAAGCTAAATGGGTGGAAAGCCAAAAAACACAACAAAAACCTGTCCAAAACAACCCTAGTTTACTTTCTAAATGCCCCATTCGGGATATGAGCAAGGGTCATCTGCTCTGCATGGTACCAACTGAGCTTATGGTGCTCGCACCTGGTCGTGTCATCGGTTGAAAAAAATGTGCTGTAAAACTGACCATGTTTCACCTTGTAAAGAAATGTACATAAAACCAATTAATTATGAACCACACAGTTTACAAATGAACACTCAAACCAATCAAATTTCACCTTATGGAAAAATGTACAGTAAAATGATCATGTGTCACCAAGTAGTGAAACGTACTGTAAAAAAAAATTATGGGCTATACAGTTAGAAATGTACAGTAAGACCAATCATATTTCACCTGAAAACATGTACAGTAAATCCGATCATGTCTCACCAAGTAGAGAAATGTAGGCTACTACTGTAGAACCAGTTTTTAACCACACAGTTTAAAATGTTCAGTAAAACCTATCATGTTTCATGCAGTTTAAAAATGTATGGTAAAAAGTTATCACGTTTTACACAGTTTAGAAATCTACAGTAAAACTGATCATGCTT